GTAACGTGCCGCCCCCGGCAGAGGCCACAGCAGCTAGGCTGCACCAAAGACCCCGGGGAGGGTGGCCAAGGGCCGGGAGCAGCGGGGCAGGCAGAGGAGGGGGCCGGCTGGGCGGGCTGAGCCAGGCAGCAGGAAAAGACGCAGACCCCCAGTCCAGGTCAGAGCCACACTGATTACTACCCCCGTCTGGAGGCCCGCACCATGGACCCCCTTCCTGGAGCGCGGGAGAGCTCCTCCGAGATGGTGAGGCTCCCCACCCTCTGAGCTCCACTGCCAAGCTATGTGAGGGCCGGGCCTGTGTGTGCTGCTCAGTCGCCCCTGCTCCACGAGCTCCAGCAACAGCTCGTTAGCCTCAGTGGGGATCGCGACCAGTGCTTGCTGGCCGCCCGACCACGACACTGTGCCTTCTCTCAAAACTACTGCTTTCCTTGTCCTCAAACCAGAGAGCGAGACTCGGAGAGGGGCAGTGTGGCTGCCACCAGGGATCAGGACAGATGCGCTGTCCCCTGGTCAAGGCTCAGTGGGGAAGGTACTGCCCTGCCTCCTGCCCTGCCCTCCCTATCGGCCAGAGGGATCTGTGCAGAGCTCGGGTCCATGGGATGATGGGAAGCACCCTGAGCGTCAGCGGGGGCCTGCAGGAACAGGCCGCCACGTCTGAGAAGAAGCAGATCATGACCTGGATGCTGAGGAGTTCAAGAAATAAGCAGAGCTTGTCCTGGACCAGGCTGCAGGGGCCTTGGGGAACCCCGACCAGCCCTGCTAGGTGTGAGGAGCAGGTGCAGCCCAGAGACCACCTGCATACCACCAGGCTTCCAGCCAGGCCAGCAGAGCCCTGCCCAGGCAGCCCTGGGCAAGGGGGTGGGGAGGGAGCAGAGCAGAGAACTGGGGCTCTCCCTGCCCTGGGGTGGGACACCCTGGAAGTGGAGGGTTTCAGGGGCTCAGAGTGAAGACCAAAAAGAGAGATCCAGACCTCTCTCAGCTCCTAGAAAGAAGACCCCATGCCAGCCATGAAAGAGGGGAAGTGGGGCCCAGAGCCCAGGACACCAGCCGTGTGCGGCAGAAGTCCGGAAGGAGAGGCCAGGGTGGCAAGACGGGGCGTGCATCCCTCTTCCAGGGAGCTCTGGGATGGAGGGACCAGGACACCCTAGAAATGGCAGAGCGAACCGCCGGGGGATCCCGCCTGCCCAGCTGTGAGACGCTGATGGGCAGGGCTGGAAATCAGGCAGGTACCGGGGTTATTTTTAAATGGCCCACTGTGGTCCAGGGGTTTGGAAAACTCGGCCGTGGCCTGTCTCAAGGTGCTGAACTGATAGGGGGCTTTCCCGGGGCCTGCTGGGAGAAAGAGAAGGTTAGCCATCCCGCGCTGGCCGGGGGGTGGGGGTGCCCTGTGGGGGCAGAGGGCTCACTCCAGGGCAGTGCCCTCTCTGCAGCCCTTGCTGGAGCAGGTATGGCCGGCTCAGGCCATGCCACTGGGCCCTCCTTGTACACAGGGTGACCCGTGCCCACCCCCGTCCAGGGCCATTTCCAGCCAGCCTGGCTAGCTACCAAGTGAGGGGGACCATGCTTCCTGGGCTGCTCTTTGGACAAGGCAGAGCGTGTGGAGGAGCGCCCCCTAGCTGAGGCCTCAGAGTGTGCAAGTTCCGAGTCCCAAGGGGGTCACTCTCCCTGCCAAGCGGCCTTTGGTCCAGGCTTGAGCAGCGAACAGGCCCAGGAGAGACCAGAGCCCCCAGGCCTAGCTCTGGGATAGGACACGGGTGGGGGGGGCTTACAGGCTGGATTGTCTACCCGCCGTCCCTTCTCCACCTTGCGGATATCCCAAGGACCCCTGCCAGACCCCCACCTGCAAGGGACAGCTGAGTGCTAAAGCCACCTTAGCGGTCACTGCTGGGGTCTGTGTGTCTCGACAGCTCCTCTTCTAATCCCTCCCCCTGCCCACCCGGCCCACTAGTCTCTTCCAGGCCAGATGTTTGGAGTGCTGGAAGCGACTTGGAGCTACACCCACCCCTAGAACTGTTCCTAGCTATTCCGCAGGCCTACTGTAAGCTGAGCAGGACAAGCCTGCTCCTTGGGATGACCCCAGCCCCGGGGACAGGAGGCACTGGCTCCAGAACTCCCGTCAGAGCTCTGGGAGCATGGAGGCAGATGAGGACAGGACTGGAGAAAAGGTAAACCTGGCAACCTGAGGGGCTGGCAGGTTCCCCCTTTTCCAAAAGGGCTTCAGGACTCTGGCTTTGCCGGAAGTGAGCGTGCACAGGGGCTGGTGCAGGTCACCATCCTGACCACCGAGGCCTGTCCTTGCAGGGTGTCTTCAGGGACCAAGGTGTGGGAAGGGGCCCTGGAAAATGCCATGCGCCCAGCTGCCCACCTTGCCCTCACTCACAGCAAAGCTGGCCAGCCTCCCCTCGGCCCGCCCAGGAGTGAGGGGGAGGTCCAGAGCAAGGTCCGAGGGCAGCGGAGGAGGACCAGGAGGGTCGGCTCACCTTTCAGGGAGAAGGAGGAGCTGCCCTGGACTGCAGGCAGGTCGTCAGAGCCGTGGATGCTAGAGGAATACTCCCAGACCCGGGAGGTGTAGTTACCTGGAGGGACAGAGGGGCTCGGGCTCAGCGGCAGGGCCGAAGGGAGGTGGGGCCGGCGAGGAGCCAGGTCTGCCCTCTGTGTCCAGCCCCAGATGCCACATGTCCAGCTGCCTCCCCAGTCCTTCCTGCCAGAGTGTCTTCCCGAATACCGAGTGTGGTCCTGCCCCGGCGCTACCTAGAGGCCACCGTCCACAGAATAAGGGGCAAAGTCTTTAATGCACCCACAGCTCTTTCACTAGCCACTACGCCTCTCCCCACCCCCGCCTCCACTCACTTCCTGTGTCACTTCCCCATCCCTGTCACTCAACATCCCACAAGCTGAATCTGGCTCCTGACCTCTTCCCAGCCCTGGGCTTGTGCCCAGACGAGGTCCCCTCACCCCACAGGTCTTCATGTGTCAGCTTACATGGCACCTCCCTATGTCCCCAGGCCCCTTACCCCCCTTCACCTGCATGTCTGCCCCTCCCACCCCAGGTCACAGTGTCTGTCACCCTCACTGGGCTCCCTGGGCTGGGAAGATGCCCATCCCCCATCGTCACGGGTGCCTGGCACAGAGCCTGGTCCCTAGAAGGTGGCCCTTGTCCGGCTGATGGATGACTGAGTGGCAATGAACAGATACATGCAAACGCATCCCCAAACTCGGGGTCAGAGGCCCTCGTGAACTGAAATCCTGTCTGCGAGTGCGACAAGTATGTCCCTGTGGTCTAGAGGAGGAGGCAGGGTGGGAGAACCAGCAAGGAACAGAGGACTCCTGGGTGGGGGACCTCAGAGCCCTGCATGGATAGAGCTCCCTTCTCCAGCCCCTTCTTGGCAGCCCCAGAGCACCAGGGGCACCCCTGGTCAAGTTCAAGTTGGCTCCACAGGGGCACCCACCACGCCCTGGAGCTCTCTGCAGCTCTCTGCAGGCAGGGCTGGGCCGACGCTGGGGTTGGGGTGAGTTGCATGGTGGGAACTGCCCACTACCCACTGGGGCCCCGAGGCCTCTGCTACTGTTCACCCCTCTTCTCTCAGCCGCTGCTTCCCACTCCTGGGGCCCGAGGTTGCTGTGGACAGTGCAGCCCCAAGGCGCTCGCAGCCCGGCAGCGTCACGTGTGGAGGAGGGTTGTGGTTTCACGGCTCTGAATCTGATCCTGGACCAGAGACCCGGCCACCGCCCTGCCCCGGTAGCCCCGGCCTCCATGTCCATGGGCTCGCCCACCTTGTGCCGAGCCTGTGGCAGGTGGCTTTGCAGGGCTGACCTGGGGCCCTCCCTGCAGGTGGCTGGCAGCGCCGGGGCTCCCAGAACCAGGGCTCAGGGAGCATAGCCCGGCAGAGGGAGACCCTGCACGTGGCAGCTGCCCCGGGAAAGCAGCATCCCCACCTCATTTCACCTCCTCTGGGTCTCCCAGTGTCTCTCACCTCACAGGGCAGGAGCCCTCCCAGCTGTGCAGGGACCGCCCATCTCACGCAACGCCTTCCCTCCCGCTGACGGCTAAGCTCACAGTCTCACGACTGTAGACTTCCCAGCCAGCCTCATGTTTGCTGGGGAGGTCACAGCGCCTGGTCCCAGGGTGGTCACTCACCCCCAGTGTCCCACTCACCCTTCAGGGATAAGAAGAGCATGTGGGCGCATGCTCCGAGGTTCCTGCGGGCTTCCCTCCTGCCTAACTAATGTCCTGTGCGCATACACACAAGGTGGAGAAGGGACTGCGGGTAGACCGTCCAGCCTGTAGACCCACATGCTTTAAGCTCAGGGGGATGCCACCCCACCTATCTCTGGGTCTCCCACCTCATCCCAGAGCCCCACCTTCACCTCATACCGGGGAGAGCAGCCACTACCCCAACCTCCTGCCTGCCCCGCCCTACATGGGACCTGCCGCCCTTGCTGGGCCGCCCCCCACCTTTGGTGCCATAGAGATTGTTGAAGTTCTTCTGGTTGGTCTCCTTGGAGAGGCGGCTGGGGGACGAGGGCTGGTACGAGGTCCGCGCCCCACCTGTGAGGCAGAGAGGGATAGGGGTCACCACTGCAGTGGGGAGTTCTGACCTACTGCAGGACTCAGTGGCCCGACCACAGTTCCCCAGCCGGACCCCGCCGCCACCCGAGGTCCTCTGGGGTAGCAAGCCAGACCAGGACGTCAGGGAGGGAGGGGCTCTGGGAACTGTTGGTCAAGGACATGGGGCTAAACCTGGACGGCCCTGGATTCACGGAGACATGCGGTCACACAGCCTAGGGGCTGCGGAGTCACCTGGAGGCTGGAAAGGTGCCGCTTCCCTCCCAGGCTGGAGTCCCTCCGTGAAGGAGACCCCAGAAGCTGGGAACGGCGCTTGGGAAGGACGGGCCGTGGGGACCTGGCAGAGGAGTGGGGCCTTGGCCAAGTGCAGGACAAGCCA